ATTTTCCCCTCACAAATCCCATTTTTCCCCTCACAAATCCCCTTTTTCCCCCAGAAAAATTCCCGTTTTTTCCGCGCTCCCTTCTCACATGGCGGCGTCTCGGTCTCCGACCCAGCAAAAAGGCCGCTACGGGGCTTCCCGGCCTCTTATATAGCGAGCAGGGGTTCACTTCCGCTGGCGCATGCGCCGTTTTATGGTACGGCAAAGAACTTCCGCCCTATCCGCCCTCACTGCGGAGCTAGCGCATGCGCGGAAGCGATTGTACGGACGCGGCCGCCATCTTTGTTACAGGCATTCGCCTCAAAGGCCGCCGCGGTTTTTTTATAACAGCGTAAAAACACGCGCGGGCGGAAAATGAGAGTTTTAGAGGGGTAAAAAACACGCGCGGAGGCGACAAAGAGGTGACAAAGAGGCGACAAAGAGGACACAGAGAGACCAGGAGGGGACACGCGGAGAGGAAATGGCCGCTCACACGTGGACGCAGAAGGGGAGGGCGCTCATTAAGAGAGGCCGAAAGGCGCTGACCAATCACCGCTCGTGGTGTGCGTGACGTCACTGTTGCTAGGCAGATTTCTCAGGGAGAATTTGGGGACCCGCGGGAACCTCAATATTGAAATTCCCCCCGAACCCAAAATTTGATCAAATCCCCCCAAAATCCCTCCCCAAATTCCCCTTTTAAATCTCAAAAAAATCCCCCACAAGATGCCCCCCAAAATTATAAAAAAAAAAATCCCAAAAAACGCCTTAAAAATAAACCAAAAATCAACCAAAATCTCCCTAAATCCCTTAAAAAAAAAGCAAAAAAATTCACAATAAATCCCCGGATCTCGCCTAAAAGTCTCCCCAAAAAATGCCCCAAAATTTAAAAAAAATCGAAAAAAAACCCCCAAAAAAATAATTCCCAAAAATTCGCTAAAAAAAACCCTAAAATTATTTAAAAAATCCCAAAAACTGCCCTTAAAAAAACCCCCAAAATTTCAAAAAAATCACCAAAAAATTCCATTTAAAAACCGTCACCATCTTTATTTTTAGAAATTTTTTTTTTTGGGGGGGAAAGGTGGAAATCGGATTTTAATGGGATTTTTAGAGGGAATTTTGGGGAGGGATTTATGGGAATTTTTAGGGAATTTTTAGGGAATTTTGGGCGGGGATTTGGGGGATTTTTTGGGGATTTTTTGGGGTTTTTAAATGGGATTTGGAGGGAATTATTTGGGGATTTAAAAAAAAAATTGAAGGGTTTTAGGGGGATTTTTGGGGGATTTTTT